CCTCAGTCTCCATACCTTTTAATCTATCTATCTGCCTCTATTACCAGAGCATCAACTAGACTGCAGTCAGGGATCTGTGACATGTTTGATGGATGAAGAATGTCAGTAGAGTGTTGGGGGGGGAAAGAGGAGAATAGAGAGAGGTTGAGGGGTGGGAGGGGTGGTGAGAGCATCCAACGAAGAATATGAGTGACATGAAACTTGATCAAATTTTTTGAAAGCTGAAATATGTATATGATCTTGAAGAATTTGAATACCTTCAAATTAGATAGCTCTTTAAAGTGTTTTACTTAAAATTTAAATGAAATTTAAATTACTGCAACAAGAACACACCCATTAAGATGCTTCTGTTAAGGTAATCAGTAAATTAGGCTGAATCAATATCACCACCATTAATCACAATATAAGGATATTAATTTAATTGACCAAATTCACCCAGACAGCATTCTTACTCTCATTAACCAGCTAATTCAGAAAGTCACAGCACGGAACAAGGTGATTAGAACAGGTCACATGAAAAATCCTCCTGGGATAGGCTGCAATCAAAGTTGACAAAGATAAATCCAATATGGTACAAAATGTAATGGTTTATGAGGCTTAATTTGCAGCACAACGTCATTCTACCATCATTAGCTGTGCACCTGCAGAGCCATGTAAACTTTATCCTTAAGTGTGTTTTATTTTGTGGCTTTATATAATTCTTGTAATAGGTCCTGCTGCTGCTGAAGTGGCTTTAAAATATAAGCATTACAAAGTTGGAGGAGATAAAAGGAAATAGGTGCATGGTGGAGATTAACTTCAGAAAAACAGTGACAAACAGGAAATGACCACTAGACTGTCTATTCAAGATAGGTCTCCTCTTTTGGAACACTTATAAATTGAAATGGAAGTTGTTATAATGTGGTTTTTTGAAGTAGTGAGAAGGAGAATTTGAGTCTGAGTGGCATTGAGAATCTTTCAAGTTAAGGTAATTCTGCCTGACAACAGTCCTTTGATTGGCTGAGCTGCAGTGTGTTTCAAAACAGCTTCAAATGTCAGGACAGAAGAAAAGACTTTCACAGCCTGCAGACAAGAAGCATCCATCTCTCTCCACCACCACCCCCCCACCCCATCTCCTTCTTCCTCTATTTAGAACAAAGCAGATAAACAAAGAAGAAATTCTAAAACAAGACCTACGTCCACCTGACAAGGCTGTGGGCCAGATGCTGGAAAGAACAAGAAGGAACAAAGAAAATTACAGCACAGGAACAGGCCCTTCGGTCCTCCAAGGCATGTGTTGGGTATTCTAAAAGGCATTAGCGTGGACAAGTCCCCAGGACCGGATGGGATCTATCCCAGGTTACTGAGGGAAGCAAGAGAGGAAATGGCTGGGGCCTTAACAGATATCTTTGCAGCATCCTTGAGCATGGGTGAGGTCCCGGAGGACTGGAGAATTGCTAAAGATTAGAATAGTTAGGTGGCTGTTTTAGTCCAGTGCAGACTTGATAAAGAGCCTCTTTCTATGCTTCAGACCTCTACGGCTATGATAAGCCATCCCATCGCCATACAGACAACACTGTATCATCATTGCTAAAATCGGAAGGACCAAGATAAATTTCTGGTTTATTTTTCCCACCATAGTGCATATGTTAAACCATTTGTCTGTCTATATTAATTGAATATATATTAAATATTGAAGTTATTTTTACTGTTACTGATGAAACCGGGTGTAAATTGTTTTTGTAACGAATAGCAGTTTGTCAAGCAAACTGGTCACTTTGGTGGTCTCTTGGGGACTTTTTTTACATTTGTACATTTTGTGACACTTATGGGACAGTGAGACATGGCGGTAAAGTGGGACATTCTAGTTAGAGCTCCTCTGTTCACCAGTTCTTTTTCTTTCTCCTTTTCTTTCCTTTCTCCTCTTCGTAGCTTTTTTTTTCCTTCCCTTGCATCCCCACCCCACCCCACCCCCCAACTTTTGACTGCCCTGCCTAGAGAGTGGAATCATGGGAGATGGGTTGCGGTCAGAGCCCGAGTAGGAATGGAGCGAGCACAGGCTGGGTCCAGCGGAGCGAGCACAGGCTGGGTCCCTTGGCGGCAGCGGAGTGAGCACAGGCTGGGTTGCCTTGGCGGCACCGGAGTGAGCACAGGCTGGGTTGCCTTGGCAGCAGCAGAGCAAGCGGGCTGATTACCGGTGCGGAAGCGGAGCGCACGGGCCAGAGCCAGAGCCAGAGCCAGAGCAGTAGCCGAACGAGTCCTGGATGGAGGCCAGCACATGGACAGAGCATGGCCTCATGATCTGGGGCTGGCAAGCACGGACTCATGTTGGAAAGAGACTGGAACCCAAGTACATTATGGTCACTTTTTATTATCATTCTGGACTTTTTTTAAACTGTTCCCATGCTAACCTTTTTTTTTAACTCTGTAACAACACTTAAAGCATCTGTACCTATGTCCCCTATACCCAAGATGGCGCCGAAAGGCAACATTAAAAACTTTTCACTACACTCATTCTGTTCTATTCTATTGTTGTACTCTTCCCAGTCATCACAACAAATGTTGGGAGGCTCATTGCCAAGATGTTTTGAACAAGGATCATGTAAGAATGTATGTTAGATTGTGAGGTAGTGTAAGTGGTAAAGGATAAAGACAGATAAGAGGTTTCTCATGATCAAATACGGTGACATTAGAAGCAGCTAAAACCATCATGCAGTTGGAACAGGAAGTAACTAAAGCTAGGCTGCTGAATTGGCAAATAAATTAGAGGTGGAAATGACTGCTGAGACTAAGGTAGCAAAAATATTGGTAAAACATCTGGAATGGTTTGAAATACCAGCATGACTAGGTACATCTAGTGGTAAGTCACCTGAGGAAGCATTCAACTTAGTTAAAGCAGTGTGAACATGAGAAAAAGATAAAACAGTTGAAATTGAAAAGGGAAGTGCTTTAGAATAAAAAAAAAATAGAAAATGAAATTAAAAAGGAAATGGAGCAAAGAAAACTTGAACTTCAGAGAGAAAAGGAAAAAGACAAGATAGAGAATACCAACTAAACATATGAAACTAAAAAAAAAAATATAGAAGCCAAGTAAAGATCTGAGAGAAAACCTTGGACATTATCTAATGTCGACAAGGAAATTAGGCCCTACCCAAATTTCAGGAAATGGATTTGGAGGCATTCTTTATGTCATTTAATAAAACAAATGAAGTGGCCAAAGGGAAAGCAGGCATGGCCCACACAAAGCAAGTTAATAAGTACAGCATGTAAAATTTATGCACCACTGTCAGGTGGAGTTCCTAAGAGTTATGACACAGGAAATAAAAAGCTATTCTACATGTATGAGTTAGTTCCTGAAGTATACGAGCAAAAGTTTAGAAATTTGAAGAACCGAACTTGGTAAAGCAATATCATAGCAAGGAAGAAGATAAGAAAAAGAACATATGACAGGTAGTAAAAGCAATGGAGGTGATAGACAACAAGAGTGATGCAGAATGAGAAGTATAGTGTTCACAAAACAAACCTCTTACAACTCGACTAGGCCAACACTGAAAATACTGAATTAAAAACTAAGAACTGCAGATGCTGTAAATCAGGAACAAAAGCAAAGTTGCTGGAAAAGCTCAGCAGGTCTGGCAGCATCTGTGAAGAAAATATCAGAGTTAATGTTTCAGGTCCGGTGACCCTTCCTCAGAACTGATGGTAGCTGGGAAAACGTCAGTTTATATGCAGAATCTAGTCTACTGCATTCGCTGCTCACAATGTGGTCTCCTCTACATTGGGGGAACAAAGCGTAGACTGGATGACCGCTTCATGGAACATCATTGCCTTGAAGAGTGACCACCACTGTATAAACAACAGTCGTCATGTTCACAATTATCTCTTGCATTGGTCTTGTAAAGTGTGTTATAGTAAATAGAGTTATAATAAATATATCACTGTTACTGACAAGACATGGTGTAAATTGCTTTTGTTCTGAATAACAGTCAGTCAAATTGTTCATTTTCGTGGTCTCATTAGGAGGTTATATGTTTATACATTTTGTGATAGTTTGCGGAACTGTGACAGTACACACTTTCTAGTCAAGGAGTGACACTACCTGTGTTTTCCAAAAACGTGATCTGCAGAACCACCAATTACACTTATTAGATTAATTATAGAAACTGCAGGAATGAAAAAACTAATATGAGGAATATGATGTCACAAATTATTTTCATGAATTTTGCAAACATTTTAGGAAAATGAAGGTAGAAAGTAAAATTAGACAAAATAGAAATGTTGTCATTTTTGAAACTTTGTTGTGTGTAATGCTTGATTATACTTAGCCAGGCATCAATATACAGGTTATAATTTAACAAAATCCTGGAAACAAAACCCTGCTTTCCATATATGTAAATTTATGTTGATCAAAATTAAATTGCAAACAACCCAACAATTCTCTTAATATGATGGTAATTTAACATCACTCACAGGACAAATTTAGAAATGACAACTTAAACATTTTTTGCAGATAACAGTAAATAAATAAATGTTATAATGTTGTATAAGCTCTTAGCAAATTTACAACTTGACCACAAGAATCATCAAATAAGCTTGCTCTTTAGTAAGAATCAAGCTCACCCAAGGCATAATCATTCACTAGGATGTGCCATTTCAAATAAAAACGTGACATACCTAATGCTCCCTTGGGATAAATGGGTTCATGATGAATTAGCAGAAGGAATCATCTCTGAATACTAACCTAAATATGAAGTATAGTCTCACTACAAGCTTTATAGCCTGTAAATTAATGAGCCAAGGCAACAGGACATTTACAGATGTTACTTCATACAGAAGCTGAAGTAAAGTCTTAAGGTATAGAGGCAACTTTTGAATCTGCTGTCTGCGTACCAAAGTGGCATTTTAGACTGCCTGGTTTTTGTTTCCATTTTATCACACAATTTCCAATTAGTGTAATGGAAAAAACTAATTTATAATAATTTTAAATTCATTCACATTCATGGACAAAACTCCTTACTTACTCTTTGTAAGTTCCTGTGTCTGGATCCTCTGACAGGACATCATGTAATGCTTCCACACAAATGTTTATAATGCCACAGAACTTATCTTGAATAAGACTGTAAAAGAAAAGCAAGTAGCTTAAATTGAGTGACTTCCACAAAGTACGCAATAAGAAATCTGCTCTGAAGCGAAACAAAGGCATAGCTAGACAAATGATCTCTGAACAATGCAAAATACCTCAGTAGAAAACACACGTTGAAATATGCATGATAATAATAATCAATAAAGATTAAAACTAGTTTTATTTTGAGTCAATTTTTCCTAGAAATTAAGAATTGACACTAAATTGTCATTTACTTCATTTGTGAGAACAAGCATTGTAGGATGCATAAATTTTTGAGTTTTCTTAAATAACCACATATAGGTAGCACTGCTACATACTGGATGGGTATGAATATTTTTAATTAAACTTGACAGGTATAACCTCTTAATATGCATGCTCAGTCTGTCACAAAAATGCATTTTATACTGAGTCATAGCAATTTGAAGAACCACAGCAATTATATGTAATATCAAAGCCGCTACACACATTGGCATATATAAGCTGTTTTCAAAGCTCTACTGTCCACAAAGTCATTACAGAAAGATACCAACATTCACCATAATCATGGCTGATCATTGAACTAAATGGTTTACCCTGTATCTTTCGACTGCAAACCCTGGTTCAGGACTTCATTGCCATCAGGAAGATTCTTCCTGCATCTACCCTACGTAGTCACAGAACAGAATCATAGAATCCCTGCAGTGTGGAAGCAGGCTATTTGGCCCACCACATCCACACCGACCCTCCGAAGAACATCCCACCCAAACCCATACAACTACCCTCTCCCTGTAACCCTGCATTTCCCATGGCTAACCCACCTAGCCTACACATCCTTGAACACCATGGGTGACTTAGCATGGCCATTCCACCTGCCCGGCACATCTTTGGACTGTGGGAGGAAACCGGAGCACCTGGAGGAAACCCACACAGACATGGGGAGAATGTGCAAACTCCACACTCACAGTCACCTGAGGATGGAATCGAACCCAGATCCCTGGCGCTGTGAGGCAGCAGTGCTGACCACTGAGCCACTGTGCCATCCTGCTAGAATTTTAAGGGTTTCTGAGACTCTCCCCTTATTCTTCTGAAGTCCAGTCATCCTAATCATAATTTAAAGATAATGGATAAATCTTTTAGGACTGAGATGAGGAGAAATTCCTTCGTGCAGAGAGTGGTGAGCCTGTGGAATTTACTACCATAGAAAGTGGTTGAGGCGAAAACATTGAGAGGTCGACGGAGCTCTTGCGACCAAAGGGATCCAGGGATATAGGTGGAGGCTGGGATTAGGGTATTGAACTCAACGGTTAGCCTTGATCATATTGAATGGTGGGGTAGGATCAAGAGATCAAATGGCCTACCTTGCAATATTATTTGATATTATTATGTAATCAAGTCAACCTATCCCCATACATCAGTGCCACCATCTCAGAATGAGACTGGTAAACCTCTGCTGCACTGTCTTATAGCAACAACATCCTTCCTCAGACAAGGCGAGTATGACTACACACAATATTCCAAGTGCGCCATCACCAAGAAACATAAGGATTTGGATTACAATTTAGATGTGTCCAAATCCACTTATTATCAAATAGACAACAAAAGGACTTGATGCAAATATAATGTGAACAGCCCATTAAAATAAGACCCTATTAATTTTACTTGTAAAAGTTTAAGTTTTTCACTGCATACACAAAATTTAGCAAGACTGTCTAAATTTGTTGCCTAGACCCAGTCATCCTCGTGCCTGCAAAAAACCACAAAGTGGTTTGAATCAATAATTTTCCCATTCTGCAAATGACTAGTTCAAACACAATCCTGAGGCTGACATCACTGTAGTGTACCACACTGACAGAGCCATCGGATTGATCAAAATCATCAGGCACATTATAACCCTCTTTCAGTACACACATTCACAACAAATCCGCTTGCAGCCTTTCCCTCCTGGATGTTGACATCAGGAGCCTTTGAAACATTTTTTTCAAATAATAATGTGCATACAGTGAAAGAAAAAAGAAATGCTGACATTTTGAAAATACTCTTTTAAAAAGCATGGAAAGCAACCAAATTTGGACATCAAATCTAAAACTAATCTGTTTGAACTTTATTAATGTTAAGTCCCTACTCATAATGGTGACTATATGCACACCATGTTAAAAACTTATTACAGGGCCAACCAGAAACTTATAATAAGATCACTTCTGAGTATAAAGCCAATAAATGCATAAAGGTTGTGCACTATAAACATACAATGTTTTATGAGACATAAGCTAACTCAAAAACACAATTTTAAAAGTGCTAAACATTGCTATTCAAAAAGATCTGCGCATCTTTGTATGGATAATAACTGTGTGATGAATCCTGTTTGAATTTAAACCATCGTTTGAGGATTGGCCAAAAGTGCATGACAGATGTATTACCAGGAAACATTGCCAGCAATAATTCCAGGAATTCATGACAATATTGTAATCAACTGGAAAAGCACACTGACATGATTCAGTCACAGGAATAGGCCACTCAGCCCCTCGAGAGTGCTCCATCAATCAATATTCTGACTGATTTGATTGTAATCTCAAAACAATATTCTCGCTTATCCATGATAACCTTTCACTCTCTTGCCTAACAAGAATCTACCTACTCTGCCTTAAAAATATTCAAGGACTTTGCCTCCACTACATTTCAGGGAAAGACGCCCAAAAACTCAATTCTGTGTGCGAAAATGAGTCTGTCTTATCTCTGTTCTATGTGGGCATTCCCTGATTTTGGGTAGAGAGTTTGCATTAACTCCTGGAGTTAAATACCTGTCTAACAAATTTTACACAAAATATCAAAAACGAAAAACAACATAAACATACATTTAAATAAAGCCAACATACTGTAGATGTTTGAAATCTGAAACAAACACAGAATGTTGGAGAAAATCAAGTGGTCTGGCAGGATCTTTGGAGAGAGAAGCTGTTAACGTTTCAAGTCAGAAAATTTCTTTGTACTTCTACAAAGGCAGAGGTCAATGCAAAAGACAAAATGTTTGTTAATAGAAGAAAAAAACATAAATGGTTGCACTGGTCCACTGTTAACAGGACAAATTCTCTCGCCTACATATTTTAATTTTCAGTTCTGATGAAGCGTCACATCGAACTCAAAATATTAACTCTGTTTATCTCTCCACAGATGCTGCCAGACCTGCTGAGTTTCTCCTGAATTCTTGGTGTTTGTTAAACATATATTTAGTTGAGTGGGCTAAATCAAGGATTAACTGATCAAACAAGTAGCACTGTAGTGATCCTAGGCTCATGAAATTTGGAAAAGATAACTCAAAGGAAAGATGAGAACAATGTCTTTGATTAGTTTATGGTTGTAGATCAAGCATAAACAATATGTAGGACAGACACAATCTACATAATGTCCTCTGCTTAATGCATATTTATGACGTAAATTGCTAGCATCAGCTGCTGTCTTTTCTAAAGTCAAAAAGCAATGCCAGAATACAGGACAGATTAGAAGAAAATTTTTTTATTAATAACATAAAATGAACCATACCTATGGAATATTGATACATTTCAACAACTGTTTCCTTCTGATATTCTGCTTTATACTTTTGGTGTATTAATCATGGACTTACAAGGAACCATGATGGCATGTTTACAATAGCAGTATTGTATTTGCTATGACTGTGTAATATACACTGGAACCTGAAATGTTTAGTGTCTTAACTTGAATTATTCTGCTGGTATTTTTATAACTTTTAATGTCCATTTTAAATTAAATCAGATCACAATTTATAATACAAGTCTAGTAAAATCTCTAAAGGTGTAGCGTTTTCTACCACTAACATTTCAGACTAAAACATGGCACTGACACACGTGCATAATTGCACTTTGATCATCAACATGAATAAGAGCCCAAGGATTCTGCACAAACACTTGCTCATAGGATATTTATTGTTCATGAACAGTACACTGGCATTATTTGTAATACAAGGAACAAATCCACTAAACTATTGGAATGTTACCAATTGAATACTTCACATTCACTAAATTATAAATACATATTATCTACTCTGTACTGCAGCTCTTAAAGATAACCATGTACTGAGATTTTTAAAAATCCAGGTTATTTTTCATAACTTTCTGAACAGGGTACACCGATGGAAGTGGACACCTTCACCAAGCCAAATGAGTTTGGCTGTCACCAAGGCAATAGCATAGCCTCACTCAGACATATCCGGAACAGAAGAACATTAAGTCAGCCCACAGCAAAACCCAAAATTAAGTCAAGCCTTGGCCAAAAAGTTAACATTTTCTTCACGATCTGGGTCGGCAGGCCATAGTGGTTGAGACAGCAAAAGAGTCCCACGAGGTCTGAATTGAGTAAGAGAATTCCCAGCCTGGTATCCAGGATAGTGCACACACCACTTTTAGAATACTGCATTCAATTCTGGTCTCTCTGCTACAGGAAGGATGTTGGGAAAATTGAAAGGGTTCAGAAAAGTTTTACAAGGATATTGCTGGGGTTGGAAGGTTTTATGAGGAGTGGCTGAATAGGCTGGGACTATTTTCCCCAGAGTGCGGAGGCTGAGGGGTGACCTTATAGAGGTTTATAAAATCAGGAGGGGCATGGATAGGGTGAATAGCCAAGGTCATTTTCCCAGGGTAGGAGAGTCCAAAACTAGAGGGCACAGGTTTAATGTGAGGAGGGAAAGATTTAAGAGGGTCTAAGGAACAACTTTTCCACACAGAGGGTGGTACCAGAGAAAGTGGTGGAGGCTGGTACAAATGCATCTGGATGGGTACATGAACAGGAAGAGTTTGCAGGGATACGGGGCAATTGGGACTACATTGATTTAGGATGTCTGGTCCACATGGGCAAGTTGGATTGAAGGATCTGTTTCCAAGCTGCAGCAAAAAAAAAACCACTTTGTGATGTTTACTGGTAGACTTGCATAAAATAAGCACAGGGGGTTCTTGTAAGATGACAAACTACACAGACACATTTTAAACTCCAATTAACTGATCAAAATCAAAAACTATTGTCTTTAAATGATAACATGCTATTCAGTGTACATCAAAAATATAAATACAATCATAAAACTGAGTGCTCAAAGAGAATAACTTGAGCCTGGTTAGCAGGGTATTCTATCTCTAGATTACTGGTTTGGTCCACATTTGGATTTCTCACAGGTTCAGGAGGTATACCTTGGTCTGAGTCTGTCACATAATACCTTGCATATGGATACACACTGTAATACTCTAGGACATTGTCTCCTTCTGCCTCAGCATCCTTGAGTTTCTTACGCAGTTGCTGAATTTTGTAAATCAGGAGTAAAATTGCTGCACAGGCTAAGATGAAAAAGACCAAGAGTATATCAAAGGCTTGGTTCAACTTTTCTAAATTTTGTTCACAGATGAACAAAGGCTTGATTGAAATTGATGCCATTTCAGAAGCTGTAAATGTTGTTAAATTTACAGATTCATATGCCTTTGGTAGCTGCCCTGGTAGCATGCTTGTGTACGTCTGTGTGTCTTCTGTGGCAAATACCGCATCTCTAAAATCTTGCACTGTGACAGAATAGTGCTCCAACTTGAAATAAACAGTGGAGGTATCTGTTTTTACGGAGGTCAACATTCTGCCAATAGTTGGAGATCTCTTTTCAGTATCTAATCCCAAAGGTACCAAAGTGTTATTGCATCCACTGACTTCATTTACACTGATGTAGTGCAAGGATTTACCACGTAGCTGGGATGGACTATGACAACGAATATTTAACTTCAATGAGGATGACAAGAGCCATCTACGCAAACCGAGCAAGTTACAGTTGCACTCCCAGGGATTGCCATTCATTAGTAAATGATTTAGAGAGGCCAGTGGTCTCAGAACCTCAGGAAGCAAATTTGTAAGATGATTATTGGCCAAGTGCAGAACTTTCAAAGTTGTTGTCATTCCTTTGAATGCATCAGGCTCAATAAATGATATATTGTTATGGTCAAGCCTCAAATACCCAAGATGCAACATTTTAAAAGCATCAGATTTAACATGAATTATGCTGTTGTTACTTAGTGTTAAATGTATTAAGTTCTTCATTGCAGTAAAGCCATCTTTTGCTATGGATTTTATTTTGGAATTACTGAGGTAAAGAAATTTGAGACTCTCTAATCCATTAAATAAATTAGCATGGATCAACTTTATTGGGTTATTGGATAAGATGAGACGTTTCAGGATCTTAAGCTGAACAAAAGTATTTGATGGGATCCATGTTAAGTAATTGCCCTGCAGATTGAGAAACTCCAGTTGTGTGAGCTGGTTAAATGAGGAATTAGATATCCAGGAAATTTTATTGTTAGCGAGCTGCAGTGTATGAAGACTCATTAAACCTGTGAACATTCCATTATTGAGTACAGTAAGGGAGTTTCCTTCCAGTTGTAAGTATTGAAGGGTGGTCAAATCAGAAAATAATCCTCTTGGAATAGAAAGAATGTGATTGTGTTGTAGGTATAAATATCGAAGTTTTGAAAGACTTCCAAATATCCCTTGCCTGATGTACTGTATCTGGTTATTATTCAAATGTAGGTAGTACAAGTTCGTGAGACTAATAAAAGCTTGAGGATGTATATCGATGAGACCATTGTTATCAAGGAAAAGTGATGACAGCCTGTTAAATCCTTCTAAATCCTTAGGTGTTACATTAGAAATGTTATTCCTGCTAAGGTAAATAAGTGAAGTGGTCTTCGCAAAATTCCGAGGAACCGATGTGAAACCCAAGTTGCAGCACTGTACTAAAGTCCTTGAACAACGCTGACAAACAGAAGGACAAACCAGTGAAAAGCCTTGAGGTATCAGAAGAAGAATGCCAACCAGCAGCATGACAACTGGCACACGGCATTTGTTGATGTTGTAAATCCCATACATTTTCTTGAGTTCTTGTTCTTTATAGCCTATTGTTTCAACATGTAAAGAAACAGAATATATTACCAGAGATCGACCTAATTAGGTTTCAATTTTACCTCATGACAAAATTATTATTTTATGCGCACTTTACATTTGGAAATTTTTCAACTCCCTTATTTTATTTGTTGTCCCTTTTCAGATTGCACCAATTAACAATAATTCTCAATTGAAAACTCCTCTCAAAGATCTCTGGACCACCCAACAATACTAAATGCATACTCCCAGTAATGCTGCATCACTTTTTTTTTGTTTTGGTGTCAATTTCTTTATATGGCACCTTTTACACCACAAGATATACCAAAGTAATATCCAGCCAATTAAATGCTAAAGAACAGTCACTACTCACTTTATGAAGGCTAATCTAATAGTGACCAGGAAACCATTGTTGATTGTCATAAAATCGCATCTGGTTCGCTCATGTCTTTTCGGGAAGGAAATCTGCAATCCTTACCTGGTCTGGCTTAAATGTGACTCCAGACCCACAGTGATATCACTGACTCTCAAGTACCTTCTGAAATGGTCTAGCAAGCCAACGTCTCATTAAAGATGAAACAAAAAGATCATGGTAGCCTGCTGGAGCATTGCATGAAACACCAATCTGATAATGACCTGAATCTGTTTGTGAAGTAGACTGAGGGAAAAGTGTGATCAGGACATTGAGTCTAACATTCCCCCATCTGCCAAAACAATCAAAGTCTAAACTAGGGAGTTGTTGCAACTAAGTGCTGACCCCACTCCAAAGAATCATACAGCATTGAAGGCCATTCAGCTCCCCTGTTGCTATTCTAGCTCCTATGTTACAATAAACACTATATCTCAAATATAATCCTTGACTAAAAAGCACTGTGGAACATCTTGCCATTATGAAAACTGTCATACCAGTGCAAATGTTCCATTTTAAGTCTGCCTTATAGTCCTACACATTATTTCAATGCATATATCAAGTCCCCTTTGAACTTTATTATTGAATCTGTATTCACCACCTTTAAGGCAATGCCATTCTAGATCATAAGCAACTTCTCTTCCCTGTAGTTCTTTTGCGAATCTACATCACCTTACTACAGATCCTCCTGCCAGTAGAAAGACTTCTGCTTCATTATTCCACACAAGCACACCTGCAGCAGAGTTCAATGGATAGCGTGAGTAGAAGGAACCTTAGGTAGTTCTTTCCCCCACCCACATAACCTTAGAATTCTAAGGTCAACGAATTGGCCAACTTGAAACCTGCTAACAACACAAGACTAAAAAAAAAAATCATAGAACTCTTTCCAGCTGAGAAGGCTCAGCAACTGGAGAATCATAACTGCTTTCCATATCTTTTGACCTTTTGAGCTATTCATGCAAGATTTTTCCAAAAACTATACAAAAGAATGTTAGAATATTCTTCTAAACTATAAGAATAAATTTTATTCGGAACTAGCAAAACAGGTATAACTTCAAGAAGGTATCAGTGGATTTCACCAGTACACTGCCTTTGAATATACTAGAAAACATTTTGGGTTGAATATTTCAATGGCCAGACAGTTGCTATTTCAATGTAAACCAGATTTGTGCATGGCGACCCTGTGGAATCCCCACTACAGCATACTCCAAACTAACTGCCTGGGAAATTAAGATTCCACTGGGCAAATCCTCTATACTTGGAACCTTCTGGAAGTCTCCATTCTAATCAAAAAAAACCCAAGCATTTGATGAGCCGCCCCATCCTTACCCCTTATTTTCCCCTCCATTGTCCAGATCCAACTGACCAACCATCTCCCATCTGCCTGCCCCCTGCTGGTACTCTATTTATCTGGCATCCGCCCTCAGTCCCGAAACTGGCACCCTAACCAGATGACACTTTACTTATCTTGCAGCATAATTATCTGACGTCTACCCCAACACTCTCACTTACCAAGCTGGTGCCCGGCTTACCTGGCACACTACTCACCTGACACGCTACACTCTCAGCACCCTAACATCCCACTTTGTCTCTGTACTTGCACTTTGGCAATAGTTGTGAAATTGGTTGTCAGTGCCTTTGCATGTCAAAATACAGCAGCTGACTGCCATGTAAAGCAGCATGGTTTCCCTTCATTTGATAGTTCTTTCATAGTGCAAAGCTATCAGAATGGAATTCTGGTTTGCTGAAGGAGGCTCGATTAGAATCTTTGCTCAGAAATGCAGAGCTGTGTCCCTTTGTAAAAAACACAAATTCTTGAAGATTTATTGAACTGATGATCAGTTTTAAATATACTTCCAATATATTCTTGTCCAAATAAATACTGACTTAATATGAGTAAACAGTCATATGAATCTGAGAACATAGGCTTGTGAGCCAATTAATAGCTTGATTGATGGAAATAAAGTTCTATTTATGTTGTAAGGTTAGCCACTGTAAACATTTTATTTAATATTAATGACAATTGATGATTTTTTTTTAGGCAAGCAGCTATATTGTACTTCTGTTGAGCACAACCACACTCTATAAACAGGCCAATGAACAATTTTTAATCTGTTCTAATAATAACTTTTGCACGATTTCACAAAAGGATTTCAATTATTTTAATTTATTCTAAGATTAAGACACTCTATGCATCTATCCAGTTAAGTGTACTTTTCATTAATTAGCATTAAAGAGTCAGAAAACTACTTTGAAAATATCTTGAATTGTTATGAACTAGGTGTATTTTAAAAAGTAAAGATAGCAGTAAAATAGTTCTCCTGTATGGAATGGCTCATTCTGCAGCATTTAAAAGTTATAGTAAAACTATAGCGGTATTTTTAAAATTATTTGTTAAAATTTCTTTTATAGCAACAGACCACACAGGAAGTGCACAGTATTCTTCCCCAGTTTTTTCAAATAATCCTCTTTTTCCCTTGTTGCCAATTTTTCATCAGTATTTTTGTCCCTTCCTTCTTTAAGGCAGAAGCACAATATCTAAGATTTCCCACATAAACCTCTGAATACAGGCCGAGCAAAAATGATGATCAAATTTCCACTAAGCTAACGGTCGGGGTCAACTTTGGAGACCCGATTACAGCCCTGAGTTTTTCATTAAAAAATTGGATAACTTTCAAGGCCAATGTCAAGCCTCTAGGACAGTATTTCATTACCACGCTACCAAACATGTATTTCATGCGAGTAATGTTTCATTGATAAAAAATACATGCGAGCACTTTGATCTGACACAATTAAGATACGAATTTCAAAATGGTTCAAGCAAAAACAGAGACTTCAAACCTGTATTCTCACCTGGATAAATAGAACATAACTGCTTCGTTATCATAAAATTTTGAGATAATAAGCATGCACATATTTCAAAAAAATGGACTTTGGTTAATGAACAAAATATTTTACTTGCAGGGTGGGAGTGGAAAATGTCAACTTCAGGAAATGTACACATCCCTTTGGTGTGTATCCACAGTGAGGCAGGAACTGACTATTCTTCATGTTTCTCCGTAGTGATTTGACAGAGTATGTTTCCATGAAAACAGGAAATGGTGAAACCGGGTAAAGTCTCATTGTTCTTTGTGGATTACTTCTGGCAAAGCAATTTTAGTTCGTCTGGCATTCAGAATATAGAAGCGGTTTATGGTTAATTTCAGTTAATTAGCATTACATTTTGCCATAATTAACAATTGCCTACGTTACCCAGAACTCAATAACTTATGACTCATTTTAAGACTTTCCTCAATGTCTGTGACAACCACACCTGCTTCACCACACCAATACAATGAACGACAATATAACTTTCAATGTCTCCACAATTATATAGGTGGCTTTAGAATGCAGCTTACAAGTATACATTAAGGTTAATGGTCATAAATTTATTAAGTATTACAATTATTCTTGGCGAGTACTGTCTAAAAACAAGATTTAGCCCTTTGCAATTAGCTGTGCAGTTTCTTATTTGCAATATCTATTTTCCCTTCCACTATTCTTTCCCTTCACCAAGTCAATTTGCAATTATGTTTTAATCTTAGAGGTATCCTGGACTAGCGCTGCCTGATTAATAAACCACATTTGCATTTTCTTCAAATATGTTCCCTTTGTACCTGTGTTCATTTAACACTGGTACACTCACAATGACTCAGGCAGGGGATTTTAGAATTTTGCCTCTGTCACACTGCAAGAATGGCCATATACTTCCAAGTCAGGATTGAGAGTGGCTTGGAAGGGAACTGATAGTTGGTGGTATTCCCATGTATCTGCTGACCTTGTCCTGCTGGATAGTAGAACTTTGAGTGGTGCTGTCAAAGGAGCCTTGGTGAATTTCTGCAGTGCATTTTGTAGATGGTACACGCTGCTCCTGAGCATTGGTGGTGGAACGAGTGAATGTTTGTGAATCTGGGGCCAATGAAGTGGGCTACTTTGTCCTAAGTGGTTTCAAGCTTCTGTAATATTGCACTCATTCAGGCAATATTCCATTACGTTTCCAACTTGTGCCCTGTAGACAGTGGATGGTCTTTGGGGAGTCAGGTGGTGAGTTACTCACTGCACAATTCCTCCTCTGAACTACTCTTGTATCCAGCTAGTTCATATGGCTAGTTCAGTTCAATATCGGGTCAATGGTAACCTCCAGGATGTTAGGACTACTTTAAGAATATTAAAACATCTCAATAATATCTAGCAGACTGATGAGGATATCTAAAAATAAGCACTTGGGTCACAAGAGTGGGGGCAATCCTAAAACAAAGAGCATATCAGCAGAAATGCAAGGAACCTACAAATTTTGCAAATTATCAATTTTAATCATGGAATGATGGAAACATACAGCACAGGGGAAGCCATTCAGCCAATCATGCTTATTCTGATTCTTTGTAAGCGTAATGGTGCTGAGTCCCATATGCCCATTTTTCCCAAAGCACTAACTCCCTCAGCTTCAAGTACTTGTGCAATTCCCAATTAAAATTACCCACAAAATCATTTTATTTACCTTTTCACGTAAACTGTTCAGTACTTTAGATCTTGACAATGCTGAGAGAAAAATACGCCTCTTCGTCTCTTCTTTGGATCATTTTCCAATGATTTTGTATCCATGACCTTTGGTGCTAAGCCTCTCAGCAACTGTATCCTTTTTACCTATTTGGTCTACAATCATCTTGAAAACCTCTCCTGGGTCACCTTTTCACCCACTGTGACCCAAGAACAGTTATAATTTTTCTAATCTCATCATAACTGAAGTACGTCATTGTCACACAGAGTGTGATAAATCAATTGTTAATACATATCTACATATATTTTGTGTTTGCTTTAAACACTCTGTAATCAGCAAAAAAGGATGTCCGCTATAATCATGTAACTGGAGTTAATAATCATTTTCTAAAACCCTCTTCATGCTAAATTCAGACGGTCAATCATACCCAGATACCTTCTAAAATAAAAGCCAAGTACTGTAGATCTGAATTAAAAACAGAAAGTATTGCAGAAACTCAGCATGTCAAACAGCATCTGTGGAGAGAAAAGTTAGTTAAATTTCACGTCCAGTATGACTCTTCTCTTATATGCTTTTACACTGCATTCCTTTTTTTTTTTTAAGAAACTCATGAATCCATGCTTTTTTTAAAAAACTATCTTAAAGCATGTGTGTATATTGATATCAAGGTGTCTCAGCTCATCATCATTTTTGAAAACTACATGATTTATACTTTCCTGTCTTTCAGTATTGGTCCTCTAATCCTTCAAAACTGCATTACTTCGACAACTGAACTCCATCGTCCATATTTGTGCCAAGTTCACCATCCTGTTTATGTGACTCTCAAGACTTTAACTATCTTTACTATTTTGCCAAATTCTATCTCATCTGCAAGTTTTATATAATGCTGCTGCTCCAAATCTAGGTCATTTGTAAATTTTGCAAAGAAGTATGGAGCAAAAACCAACCAACCAACCAATGTCACTGCAAACAATCCCTGTGCCTGACCGTTGCCCATTCACATTTAGTGGTGTTACCATCACTGAAATCCCCACTTCCACTATCAACATTCTGGGGGTAGTTACCATTGACCAGAAACGTAACTGACCAGGTAAAATAAATACTGTGGCTACAAGACCATGTCAAGAAGCTAGGAATCCTGCAGCAAGTAACTCACCTCCTGACTCCCCAAAAGCCTGCTCATGTGCAAGGCACAAGTCAGGAGTGCGATGACTTGTATGGATGAGTGCAGCTCTAATAACATTCAAGGAGGTTGATACCATCCAGAACAAAGCAGCCCGCTTTATTAGCATCACATTCACATGCAGCCCGTCCACTATGACACTCAGTAGCAGCAGTATGCAATATCTTTAAAAAGCACTGCAGAAATTTGCCAAAGATCTTTAGACAGCACCTTCCAAGACTACAACCACTTCTATCTCAATGATAAGGGCAGCAGATGCAAAGGAACACCAACAAGGTTCTCCTCCAAGTCACTCACCATCCTGACTTGGAAATATATTGCGGTTCCTTCACAGTCACTGGGTCAAAATTCTGGAATTCCCTTCCTAAGAGCAGTATAAGTTGGCCTACAGCACGTTCTGGCTGGCCAGCGACACCAATGTCCCACGAATGAATTAAAAAAAAAGCCGCAAAGCAAATCATTGGCCAGGAGGAGATCATCAGGACTTGCTCTTCCCTCTGCGTTGGGCTCACGTTTGCCCCTCCATGCTGAGCTCAAGCTCCTCCCCAATGAGTCGTGCTGCCGCTGATGCCGGGAGGAGCTGACTCTGTTGCCGCTGCTGCTGCGAATGGTGGCTGAGGATCAGTGAATTCGATGTTAATTGGGTCTGGCAGGGCATGGTGGTTTTGAGCCAGATCAGAATTTGAACTTAGATGGACTCCCTTTAAACTATATTTTTTCATTTTTCTTTTATTGTTAAACTATCAAAATAGTGCCGGATGACAATGAAAAATGAAAGCTTTTCACTGTATTTTATTATATTTCACATAATATACATGTGACAATGAATTATTCATTCATTAAATATACCGATCATTGATCGGTAAAAAGCACACCTTTCACTAAATATCCTTCAGCGAAGGAAATTTGCCATCTATCACTGATCTGCTTTGTACAGGTGGCCAGACCCACAGCAATTTGGCAGACTTGCAATGGCCCTCTGAAATGCCTAGCAAATCTCACAGTTACAAAAACAACTATAGAAAGGAATAAGACAAGATATACCACCTGCCATTGAACAGGACAAATGAAACAACAATTGTACACACTGCTCTGTTGCTGAGAAATCCTCCTTACTAACACCTGGGCACTTTGTATCAAAATTAGTATTGTCCTATAATATTGTCAAGTAATAGTTTGACACAGTCAACTCACCAAAATATAGTATATAGTGAATTTCACAGACACCACCATCACCATCACCATTCCTGGATAAGTCCTTTAGCACCAATGTGATAGATTCACCAGAGGTGGCAACACTCTGGTACTGAGTCAGGAGAGAGGGCATTGCCCTGGCATCAACACTGATTCTGAATTTTATGAAATCTTGCGACATCAGGTCAAATAAAATAAAACAAAGAATTGTGGTTGCTGGAGATCTGAAGCAAAACAGAAATCGCTGGAGAAACTCAGTGGGTCTAGCAGCATCTGTGGGAAGACAGCAGAATTAATATTTTGAGTCCGGTGACTCTTCATCAGAACTTTTAGCAGCTAGGAAACGTGGTATTTATGCTGATGCCAAAGTTGGGGGAGGTGCGGGACATTGGTGGGAGAGGTCGGCAGATAGGTGAACATGGAGCCCAAAGGAAAAGAGAGAGACAGCTACGAAAGGGGAGGTAAACCAGGAAATTATGGATAGCAGGCCAGGATAGACAGAAAATGCTGAATAAGTGATAATAAGAGCTATGGGTAGGAGAAAATCCTTTTCTTTTATTCATCCTTTATTCATTCACAGGATGAGGGCGTCGCTGGCCTGGCAGCATTTGATGCCCATCTCTAATTGCCCAGAAGGCAGTTAAGAGTCAACCACATTGCTGTGGGTCTGGAGTCACATGTAGGCCAGACCAGGTAAGGATGGCAGTTTCTTTCCCGAAGGGACATTAGTGAACCAGATGGATTTTTCCAACAATTGACAATGGATTCAAGGTCATCGTTAGACTCTTAATTCCAGATATTGATTTAATTCAAATTCCACCATCTGCTGTGGTGGGATTCGAACCCAGGTCCCCAGATCGTTGTCTAGGTTTCCGGATTAACAGTCCAGCGATAATACCATTAGGCCATCGCCTCCCCAAAATGGGTGAGCTGTACTGAATGCAACCTATATAGTGTAATAATGAGCCTAGGAGTAGAGGAGAATGGGTGTTTGCACTAAAAGCAACACATGCCATAACAGGAC